ACTGCAGAGATGGGGGTCCCACGGGCCTGGGCATGTCCGTGTTCTCCCCTGGCCTCCCAGCCCTCTTCTGCCTGAGCGGAGCGGCACAATCCTCCCTTGTCCCCAATGGGTCTGAAGTAGGTCAGAGAGGCTGGGCCGAGCCCCTGAGGAGGGGAGCGAGTGGCAGTGGGGTGCAGAGGGCCCCAGGCACCCCTGCCGGTAGCCACACCACTGGGTTGGTGCCCACCCCCTGTCCTGGTGAGACCCCGGTGTCCCCAGCTCAGGGGCCGCGGGGCGTTTCCCCTGCCCATCTGCAGTCCCCTGGGGTGATTCGGGATCCCTCTGCATCCCCGCAGGCACTGCATCCCTCCTGGGGGCTGGATTCCCATGGGTGCAGGCTGGGGTGGCCGAATCCTGGGAGATGGCACCCAGAGTGGGGACCTTGGGGGGCTGGGGCTGGGGAGCGAGCAAGCATGGGGCTGGGCTGGGTGGGAGCTGAGGGATGACCACAAGGAATAAGGAAGAGAGAGGGATTTCTCACCCCTTAATTGCAGTTAATAATTGATGAACATGTTTACTTCAGGGGGCAAAGGTCTCTGGCAGGAGCAGGGTGAGAGGGCAGAGCAGGTGCCCAGGAGCATCTCCAGCGACGCGGCCGCAGGTAAGGGATGTCAGCCCCTGCCCTGGCCCCCACGGGCACCGAGGTCCGTCACGGGGGGAGGTGGGGGTATCTGTGGGCCGGGGGGCTACCAATGGGCTGTGGCACCATGGAAGTGGCACTGATTGCGCCTGGGCTCCAACTGCTGCTTGGGGTGGCCCCGTTGAGCACGAGCAACGGAGCCTCCAGCCGTGTCCAGGAGAGGGTCCTGGGGTCCCCAAGTGCCCACATGGTCTCCAGCACCTGGAAGACAACCCTGGCCCCCCATGTCACGTCACCAGAGGTCCTGTGCCTGGTGATGCGGGATGGGGCCCTGTGCTCGCTCACCAGTCCAGCTCAGCGGAGGGGAATGTCCCCACAAGAGCCCCTCCCACCCCAGGGGCTGCTCCCCAGGAGGGATTCGGGG